TCTCGGCTTCTCTTTGCCCCTGGGGAACCGCGAGATCGCCATGGGAGAGGGAGGTCGGATCTCTCTCTTTCTTCCGCAGTCCCCCATATTGACTGCGTTATAGTGCCAATTTTGCATATATATCCTTTTGAAATAAATGGTATTACTATTTACTCCTCCAAAATTTTACGTTTAAATATATTTTTATAAAATCTGAAAACATATATACATATTAAGATATTATAAATCTTGTAATGATTCTTATATTTATTGATCAAAGATAAAAGGATTCAAACACTCAATTTATTTTGGAATATACTACCAACTAAAGACTTTGTAAGATTAATGCAGGATAATTCCCCTACCACTTGATCTTTATCAAAGAAATATATATATTAAGATAGTTTACATTTGTATATATTTTTTTAATTAAAATTAGTTTAATTTTTTAAAAAAATTATTATTATTTTATATATTTTGTATGAATGTTAGTGGAGGGAATGAATCTTAATACATTTAAAGTTATATAAATATTATTACGATAGAAATCGATGACTTTTGAGCCAGTTCGATGCGATTTGAGTTCGTATGCACGTGAATGATGAAGTGCTCGCCAAGGTATCTCCGAAGCTCTTCCGATGATCAAAGTGGATCTATTTATGTGTCTCATGATGATCTGTATGAAGATTGGAATCCGATGATTTTTTGATCCGATCAAAAGATAGCTTCTTGTATCAAATAGAAAGGAAGATAATATCCCATAAAATATTTCTTAAGGGAATAACATTTAATCATCTCTTTTGGACCATAGTGTTCGTTTTTCTCGGTGACAACGACGACAACGATACTAATAATAAAATTAAAATTTTTAATTATTTAAGATCGAATACATGAATCTTTTAATGTTAAGTATAGCATTTGAAGTCATACATCCCAACAGAAATATAGTGCTTGAAGCATCAAAATATAAATGTGGGAGTTGATGGGTTGGATTAATTTGACAAAATGAAAGATGCATATTGATTTTAGTTTATTAGGAGTTGGGCTTCCGTGGGCTCATACACAATGTAATAAGGGTGCGAAATTTATTATATTATAAATGTGAAAGGTATAAAAGTAATTAAGTTAATAAATACAATATTAAAAGAAAGATTATTTATAAGTGAATCTAAATATTTAGCTCACTTCTTGAACAAATTCACATAGTTTTAATGCTAATTGCCACGATCGATCTGATAGCATTAACTTCGTTGAGATTAAACTATTAGCTAAAAATATTTAAACTCAAGAAATAAATTTATCAAGCTCTTATATGTCGATCTACATTCTGATCCATTTTCAATGTAGATCTAAATTGAGATGTTATAGTTATAATTGTTTTACGTAAATACATTACTAAATGTATTCTTCTATGGATAAAGAAATATAAAGAGTTAAATATTTTAAAAAGAAAATAAAGGATATTGTTGAAATTATTAATTTATTTTTTTCTTGAGAAGTTAATTATAGTCCCTTCTCTTTATCAAAACAATAAGGTTAATAGATCAATCCATCTAAAGTCTTGCTTTTATTACTTGTTAAGATGATGGTTCATTTTCAATCGTCACTCTTTTTTTCAAGAATATCATATGTAAAATTGAGTTAAGCGTCAAATCTATAAATTTGAATATTATAGAACTACATTAAGGACATGCTCGACATAACTCTTCTGATGGTTTAGTCATCAAAAGATTTAGATGACTCGATAAGTATCAAGTTCTTTTGATGATAATTTTATATTATGACAAGGGGTTATGTAGGAAGATATGATGTGATATATTGTATCATGTCTTTAACCTATAGTTTTTTATAGTGTGATAAAGAGGTATGAAGAATTAAATTATAATTAGAAGAGTCGAAGGTATAATTATAAATCTACGGCTCATCAAGTTGTGAGGAACACTATTGAATCCAAAAATTATAAATTCATTTTAAATTCTAATCGTTCACGCCGATATTTATCTACCGGAAGTCGAAGTGTCAATCACATATTATTGAATTGATATTCTCGTGTATACGAGAAGATCATATATCGTTAATATGTCGACATCCCGATAGTGTGTCATTTTAAAAACTTTATTTAGTAACATAATAAAAAATAAAAAAAATCATAAGAATATTTAATCATACGTTTATGTCAGTGTGCGTGTGAATTACATAATCATATATTCAGGTGAGGTGAGAGGATGACACGCATCCCTATCGGTGGTTTGCAGAGATGTCATCCTCTTCTGTTCCCTCTTCTTTATTGCAGAGCTGCTAACACAGCAATGGCTGCCGGACAGCAGAACCAAAGCTGAGCCCATCGCCCTCTCCCACAGCACAAAATGGCATGTCCCATTCTCAGTCCTTTTTTAGTTCCGTGCATCTGGAGAAGATGAATCAAATGTGATACACGCTGCAAGGAGCAGCTGCATGAGGTCAATCTCCCTCTTCCATAGCACATAACGACATGTCCCATTATTCTCAGTCCTTTTTGTGCTCCAGCTGGAGAAGTTGAATCAAATGTGATAATAGCTGCAAGGAGCAGTTGCATGAGGTCTCAAAAGGAGACAAGTCAAATCAATGGAAGCTTCGTGGCTTAAATGAGGGTGTGAAGTGGTGTGAGAGTCAGAGAAGAATGCAAGGTTTTGGACCACCATGTTTCCAACGTGAATATATGTATCTCATCCCCATCTTAAGAGAGAGAAAATATAGAGACTGCTCTCCACCTGTTTCTTCAGTACCATTTTCATACATGCATTGCGATAGGAAGATTTTGATCTGTTTTGGGACACTCGTTCATCAAAATATGCATGTAAGTTTATTGGGTGATGTTCGATAAGAAAAATCACAGTTAAGTACTCAAACGTTTTCGATGATAAAACCTTACGATCGAATCTTAGACCTTTTGTCGAATGATTATTTTTATAAATAAAATAAAATAGATGACTTTGGTGGAGTATCGATAATTTACTAATTAAGTATTTATTCATCAACCCATCCATCCTATCTTTTGAATATCTTTGACTAACCTTATTATTGGAAGACACCCATCCATCCTATCTTTTGTATATCTTTGACTAACCTTATTATTGGAAGACGATAGACTACGAATTGTCACGAACAAACTTCTAAAATGTTGGATGTAATGCTTATGTATGTTCGTGTCTTTTGGCATGTTCATACCTTGTACAGCATGTAGAGGGGCGGCCGAAGGCTTAATAGTCTCATTTTAGTTGGGTTGGTGGCCTCTTTATGCTTGTAAATAAAGGTTGTGTCATGTGGACACGTGCGAGAGATTTTCGATCTGTAATGGACCATTTTACCTTTTGTTGTGCCACTGTTCAGAGCTCGTAAAGTCTGTTTGTAATTTGCATTGTCTATAAAGTATTTTTCGGATATGTTTGCTTGTGGATCCCGATTGAGGCATTCTCTCTAACCCGTTCTCTCTTTTGTTGGTCCTAAGGGACAATAGGATGCTTCGGGGAGGCTGACCTTTGCGGACGGACATGCAAGGGTGCCGCATGACTTAGGCAAAACCAGCTAAGTCCATGACAGACTGTCACAAGAGTATCACATGACTACGATAATTATTTAATAAAATTTTGCTTGAACTTATTACTTATCTTTTCGACTAATATGTTTTCTTATGCGGAGAACTTTATTGGACCTTAGAGAATTACAATATGTAAGTTATCTGGATATCGCATGAAAGTAATATTAGTTAAGTTCGAATCATATGATACTAATCAAAATAATTATACATATGGCAATTAATCAAAAAGTAAAAAATATATATTGTTGATATTATATATAATAATAATAACAACAATAAAAACAATGTGAAAAGAGAAAAAAATAAAAATAAAATTCGAGAATAATATTATGACACTTCTTGGAAACCTAAATCTTTAAGTTGTCGAAGGCAGTGTTAAAATATAAAAAAGAGCCACATCCCCATAAAAGGCACCGAAAGTAGAATATGACATTTGGCCATGAAATGCAATAGATTCCAACACCACCAAACCAAAGTAGACACAGAATATACTTTATTTTATCTCCCACTTTTCTTCATTCATTTATTCATCTTCTTTCGATAAACTTCATATTTTTCAAATAAATTTTAATTTATAGTGGTGAAATTCTTGAATCGAAAATAAAATATCACTCGATGATCCGAGAAGGACGAGCATGCTACATCCTCACTCGGTTACATGGTATGGACCTTCTTCGACCCTTTTTGTTATCGTTTGTTCATTCAGTCGGTCATCCACGAGAAAAAAAAATGATGTTAGAACCACCATCTCTTCACGAAAACTTAATAAGGAAGGTCAATTCATCCGACGTGATGTTTAATCTCATCCACAGTCTTTAGAAATATTTTCGTGATTTAGATCAACATGATAAAAAGTTATTGATCCGAATAAAAAAATTCTATCCAATATATATATTTCAATTCAATTTTTTTTAATATTAATAAAATAAAAACATAGAGTTCGTATAAAATTAGTTCTCGGATATTATTCGCTAAGATCCCAACGATACTCGGATCAATTTAAAACGATGAAAATAAACACTTTATGAAAAAAAAAGCATAATAGAATATTTGTAATTCAAAATATATGTTTGTTAGAATTCGAGTTGACACATATTATTAACCTAATTTGATTATATTTACCTAATTAAATCTTAATTTTATGTGGATGTTTTTATAGAATTGAAAATAGTTATCAAGATTCATTCGACATTTAAGTTAGAATTAATCGGTATAAAATAAAATAAAATATTAACCTCCTAAGGTTTTAATGATATATAATACATATTTAAAAATATTTATCCAATTATATATTAAGATTAATTTTTTTAATAACAATAATATAAAATATAGATTATTCCACCCAAAATGATCCTTTTGACTAAAGCATGACAAATCCCAACACCTCTTCTGACCCGCCATTTGTTAGACTGTCTCGCCACATTGTCGGCACAGCCGCACGCCAAGTGGATGAAAGAGTAGATGCGATCATCACGCTCCAAATTTTCTCTCTCTGCATTTTATGCTTCCACCTCTTCTCTCCGCTTTTGCTTTCGACTCTCGGGTGCTGTAGAGACATCTCTCCTTAATGTTTTACTTGGAGAACTGAGGTAAAAACTTGGTTTTTAGGAGTGCGGCGAGAGTTTGGCTGAGAGAGGAGAGGGGAAAACTTGACAGTGTGGGTGAGTGATCGAGCTAGCTTCATGTTGTCTTACTGGATTTGGCGGTTCTAGTTTTGTCGCGAGGGGTAGAGATGTTCCGGATAAGCGCGTGGGGTTGAAGACGATGTCGTCCTACGACTAGAAATAGTACCGAAGTTGATCGATTCTGCCCCCCGGCCTCATCTGTTCTGAGAAGTTTTGGAGTTTCGTGGAAAAAGATCTGTTTTTTTGGGGATAATCCATCGAAAACGCCGTTGATCGGCGAAAAAAAAATCGATCTTGAGTCGTCTACCAACCGCGAACCTCATGGTCGTGACGCTGTCGTCCTACGACTAGGAATAGGACCCCCTCGGCCTCATCTGCTCTGAGAAATTTCGGATTTTCACGGAAAAAAAATCTGATTTTTGGGGATAATCCATCGAAAACGCCGTCGATCGGCGAAAAAAATTTGATCTTGGGTCGTCTCCCGACCGTGAACCGCCTGATCGTGACGGATTTGGCCTCGGACTGCTGGGGTCGTTCTACGCAGGAGCAACGGCCGCCGCCATGGCGAGCTTGCCCGGTTCGGTTGACTACTGGAGGAAGTTCTTCCGGAGCGCCGACTCTGATATATTCGGAGTGATGGAGCACGCGATCGTCGTCGCGGCGTCGGATTACCCCGAGGAGTTCAGGAGCAGAAGGGATGGGCTCGTGGAGAAGTTCTTCGCTGCGCTGCTGCCGCGGTGCCTCGGCTGCGACCGCGTCGACCCGCGAGGGGCAGAGGTAGAGGAGGGGCGTGGCAGCGTGAGGAGGGTCGGGGAGAAGGAGAACAAGGTGGACAGCAGCAACGACGGGCCCGAGTCGTCTACTAGGGTGGTGAGCAATTACACGTACGACGAGGCGGAGGCGCTCACCGAAGAGATCGAAGAGGAAGGCCAAATCGTCGAAGAGGTGCTGAGCATAAAGGAGATCCTCGCCAACCACCATGAGGAGGTCTGTTCGTGCCATCGTCTTCCTCTCACATACTCACCTTTGCCTTGATTTAGCAATGCATTCAGAACATGAATTCTTCTCTGTTTTGCCTACATTTCTTTGGTTCAATTTGGATATCTAGTTGTAGCTCATGCAGATGTATATTGTTGTAGTCAATTTGGATTGTTTAGTTGATTGAGCTGTCTGTCTTGACTTGCTGATACTGCTTTGCAGTCTGATAATGTCCTGTTCGAGTTGTTGAGGCGGCTGCAACTGATGGAACTTTCTGTCGATGTTCTGAAGGTGTTGTATTCTGATACAACATTCCTCTCTAAAGTTATTTCTTTACATTGTTGAATTTTCTTTTGTTGTTGTTTACGTTCGGGTCTCAGGTGACCGAGATTGGAAGGGCTGTGAATGGCCTGCGCAAACACAACTCACAGCAAATTCGCCACCTAGTTCGCGCTCTGATCGAGTGAGTTTCTTTTGCTATATTACAAATTATGGATGGTGGCAAAGCAAATGACAACTTCGGTTGAATTTAGCGCACTGACTTTGTTCTCATGGACTGGTGCAAATTTAAGATGCCATTGTTGCTCGTGGGGTTTAGATCAAGTACATGATTGCACTTCGGACTGGATGTGATTAGATGTTTGCATGTCCTTTTTTTTGCACTTTAATCTGTCTTCATGCCACTGCTTTCCGTAGTTTATACGACATTTGGTCATAACAATGTCAAACTTAGGCTAACACAGAGATTTGACATTCTGTTTTCGCATGCGTAAAATGTTATTATCATTTAATAAATTCATTGTAACTATTTGGATTGCAGTGGTTGGAAGGTTTTGGTTGATGAATGGGTCAGTGCTACCAGTGCCATTGCTGGTATACTATATGTTTGTCTTGTGTCTGGCATCACTCTGCCATATATGATCTCTTATAGATGATTACAAACTTATGGTTTGCAGATAACTCTCCGGACTCTGTAAATCCTTCTATCGTGGATGATGAGGAAGGGCTTCCTTCTCCCCCATTAGATGAGGGAGCTCTATTTACTGCTCAGACAACTTCCATCCGACTCTCGGAGGTAAAAGATAAGATAAATTTTCGGCATTTCCCTTTATTCGTTGCCAGTGGTCGGGACACTGATCTTGTTTGGTTTCATGTGTCTATTGGCTCTCGGTTCGCAAAGTTCTTTGATGGAATGGATGATGATGGAAGTGAGTAGTGGGGCTTCGCTGGTTATTGTCTGGTTTTTCTTTCTTATGGAGATAACCAGATTATTAATATCATCCTCCTGCTGCCAATTTGCTGCAGATTTCAGAAATAATTGGGAGTTCGATAAGAAGCGGCAGAATAGGCGGAGGCCTACGGGCAATTGTGAAACGGTAAGAATACAACAACCTATCCAACAATTAGATATTGTAGAAGAGGAAAATGTAGAGATGAGGAGGCAAGAAGCACAGCGATCCATTTTGCCAGAAGAGAATATAAGGAGGCAAGAATCACAACAGTTAGCTATATCAGAAGAGAAGCTACACAATAATAGACAAGAACTCGAAACGAGGCAGTCAAAGCCACACAATATCTCTATAGAGCAAGCAAAGTCCCAAAGCATCATGAGCAAACAAAGCAAGCCTGTGATTGCTGAATCCGGGCCTGGCAGACCAGTAAAGTATACCTCTGAGCTGAATGTATGCAGCAAGGTGAAACCTGGACCACGACAAGATACTGCAACACTTCGAAGGAAGCCACCAATGATTCCACAAAATGTAAGTTTTGCCGAATGTACAAAAACATGCATTGTGATAGGTTAAAAGGAGCTTAGATCTCTAAACCTTTTCCATGTCATGTAGGAACCGATGTACTTTGAGGAGGCCTCGGTCAGGGCTAAGCTGGAATTCGCAAAGCGAAAGCTTCATGAAGGTTACCGACAAGCAGAAAATGGTTTGTGTTAATTTATAAGCTTCAATGTATTACTTAAATTTATTTTATATAAGAAAGAAATCACAGCTCTGATGGGTGACTTGTGCTTTATATGATGCAGCCAAGAAGCAGCGGACGATACAAGTTATGGAGTTGCATGATATTCCGAAGCAGGCACACAACAGTAGGCAGCCTATTCTGAAATCCAAAAATCACTTTAGAAATTGGGCAAATGGGTGGCACTAGTTCTGTTAATTATCCAACCAGGTTGCAAAATTGCACCTCCGGACCTTCCTTTTTCTTTCGGTGGAAGATCTTCAACTTGCCGTGGAAAATTGTATGTACAATCTGAACTCAATTTCAAAGACTAAACCCAGAAATTTTCCATGCAGATACCTAAGACATCTTGATCTCGTGCCACCATAAGGAGTCCAAGAAGAGTCCCATGGTGGATTGTTAAATAGAACTAGTTGTACATTTCTGGTTCATCTTAGATAAATTGCTGAAAAACAATATACAGAACCTGACTAACTATCTATTTCTGAATGCATTGATTGGTTCTTGCATTACATCGGCAGTTATGTTAAATGTCGATCTTTCAGGGTTGCTTTGGAACAAGATGCTAAGCTTTGTAGTTCAATCCAGTCTTCTCTTACTGCATCAGTCTGGGATCGACGAAGACATCGTTACATATCATATTGTTTCTTGTTACTGACCCCTCAATGCAACTATGAAGCTAAACATAATTACTTTGTGATTGCTTTTGGTTTTGGCCAATCTCGTTCCATAGTTTTTGCTCATTGCATGCTTGGGAAGAACAATCATGCTGTAAAAACTCTACCTAGAGTCAATGTAAACTATGTTGTAATCAATCTAGCATGCAAAAATACACACTGCAGGTGGCTCTGCTTCTCATCTGTCTTTCTCTTATCAGAACTTTTGTGACAAAACAGTCAACTTTTACCATTCCATCTGAGATGTTTGGTTGAAAGATATATCATTGCATGCTTGAAAAGAACAATCATGTCATGAAAGCTCTACTTAAGAGTCAATGTAAACTATGTTGTAGTCAATCTAGCATGCAAAAATACACACTGCAAGCAGCTCTGCGCCTCATTGTCTCTGTTCTTATCAGAACTTGTGACAAAACAGTCGACTTTTACCATTCCATCCGAGATGTTTGGTTGAAGATCTATCATTTCACCTACTAGTTTAGATATGAAATGAAATTGAACCTTTAGATGTGGAGTATGACCATGGATTTGTGGCCTTGGCCCCACCTGCCTCCCTGCCATGTCTCCTTGCAACTCTCACCTTCGCTTTGCTATCTGCAGCCCCTTTCTTTGACCACTCCACTCGAAACTGTGCCCTTCCCTCCCACTCCATTCCCTCATTGTGCAAGCAACAGTGACCTGTCCTATGTTTCTTTCAGAGAAGACTTGGCTGCAAAAGAGGTCGCTTTACATGGCTGGTCCGCCATGACCTTGTCACGGTCGTTAGCTCATATGCATCTTTCAAAGCCACCCGAAGTTCATGTGCTTGTCAAAAGCTTGCCGCTCCACTTTGTATTGCCACTACTGCTCATCTATTCGGTCGCCACTCACTGCCATAGAATTCTCGGCTACCTGTGTTGTCCTGAGGAAGTAGATTCAGATTCAGGAAGCTCCCGATATGATGTCGAGCTCGAATCGTCTGATGAAAATAAGATCATCTCTCTCTCTCTCTCTCTCTCTCTGTTTCTGTTTCTTTTAATAGGACAGAGGCATCTTCTTCTTCTTCCTACCAGTTCATAAGGCATCACAATATTCTGCCCTGTTACTGCTGTCATCAACCCCATGCCCGGTAACAACACGTCAGGTGAAGACTGGTATTCTAACAGGGACTCAACAATGGATGCTATTATCACCTTGTGTTTGCTTCACCATGAACCAAAGTTCCAACTTGCAGGTGGGGAAGAACATGTGGAGGTCTCACTAGTTTTCTGCTTCCCTTTTGATATCCCTGATACTGATCCATAGTCAAAGAAGAGTAGGCCATGGACCACTGATCCCATGCGTGCACACAGGTGCTATCACCCAATCAGATCTCTTCGCCAGTCACTTCCTCTTCTGCCATAAACACTGTTTCAGCTTTTCCCATGCCATGAGTACTTACTGCATGGAAAATGTCAATAGATCAGAGGAGAATCCTGAGTCCTGTCTGTAATATGTAAAGCTTTAGCAAGAAACTACTATAGTGGATGTGTATTGAGATCGAGGAAACTAAGATAAGATCGCATAGGAAGACAAGACATCCGATGAACTGTATCATTAGCTCACAGAGAAGTGGGAAATAGCAGCACTTCCACATGCCCATGTTGTCGAGCACAAGATTCTGCAACCATGCATGACATCAGAAAACTTGACCTCTTCATTACTACCATGAAGATTTAGAACATCTGATCACATGACTCAACACGAGAAACGATGATTACAGTGCAACGAGCAGTGGAAGCACTCTGAGACCTACTGAACCACCTCACTGCATACACCTTAACCCTAGAGAAAGGCCAAAGTCTTCAGCCACTGCTAGCAGCGGCATTGTTGATGCTACTGCTGCTGCTGTTGCTGAGGCTCAGCATCATTTGCCGAATGCCTCTGGCGTACTCGAGCAGCCTGTCGATGGCCGGGATCGTCTCCTTCACCTCCTGTTGCTCCTCGAAGTCTCGCAGCCATGCATGGAAGACGGGGAAGGATTCAGGGTCGATGAGCTTCACCTCCATGACTTCCTCGAACACGGCCAGCCAGTAGGAGCCGCACCCGAGGACGATGTCGAGCAAGCCGATCTTGTCGCCGCCGAAGAACCTCCTCCCTTTGAAAGCTCCGTCTTTTAGCTCGCGCTCCAGCAGCTTCAGGTTCTCGTGGACTTGGTCGACGGCCGCCTTCTGGCCTTCGCCCGACGACGAAAACACCAAGCCCACTGCTGGGGCAAGCTGCACTCCCGACGACGCAAAGGTAAGGATAGATCGAGCCGAACTCGATGAGAAGGGAGACGTATAGATAGATACATGAGGTCACCTTATCGTCGGTGAAGTGGCACCAGAAGCGGGTGACGGCGCGCTCGAAGGGGTCGGCGGGCATGATGGGGTTGTCGGTCCAGGTCTCGTCGATGTACTGGAGGATGACGACGGACTCGACGATGGAGCGGCCACCGTGGAGGAGGGCGGGGACCTTCTTGTAGACGGGGTTGTGGAGGAGGAGGGCGGGGCTGGGGTTGATGAAGTCCTCCTCCTGGTACTCGAACTCCAAGCCCTTGAGCTTGAGGGCGAGCTGGACGCGGTGGGTGTGGGAGTCCGCCCACGAGCCCAGGAGCTTCACAGAGAAGGCTGGTTGATCCATGAACGGCGATGATCGCTAACCTGTCAAGGGAAAGGGAAAAAGAGAAATGGAAGGAGGAAGGACTGTCTTCTCTGGTGTGGCTCGAGAGCCAGAAGCAGCCCCTCCTTTATAGAACTCGGAGGATGGCACGGGGATACGAGTGTGTAGGACCCTCGGCAGGTGACCCAAACCAAACCAGTTAATCTTCGAGGGATTAGGATGTGGTGGCGGTGCTTCTTCCTGCACAGGGGAAGCCATGATTAAACTCGGAAGAGATCAGGTTATAACCCATGAGTGCTTCCGAGATTGGGGAGGTTGAGATGGATGCATCATGCATGGAGGGAGCGAGGAGCTCAAAGTGGCGGTGGGCAGCGGGAGGAGGACGGAGATAAGCGAGGCATGTGATTAGAGTCAGGTGGTGGAGCACAGCATTATTAGAGGCGGAGCCCCGACGCTATCTCCACCTGCTGCTGCATGGTACGCATGTCTGTACGTGGCCACATGAAGCCAAGAAGGTGTTACCACCCACCACCGCAAGGCTACGCATCTTGGAAGCTTTCACTGTAGGAGTGGGCTTGAGCTGCTCATAGCAAAGCTCACAATATTGTCACAATCAGAAACAATCAACCATTGCAAAAATGTTCAATCCACAGGTATTCTTGTCATTGTATGAGTGTTGTTTCATCCACACAGGTTTCAGAAATGATGAGTCAAAAGCCTTGCAGGACCGATAGCAACTAATCATCTAAGGATGCCCGATTAAAATGTAATCCAAAATTATAGATTGTATTCTAGCAATTGTCTTCATGTCTGTTCTTACGATGCAAGAGTAATACATCTGGGCCAGTCTTGGGAAGCAGTGTTCTGAGGTACCAGATGGAAGAGAATCCAAGGCAATCTAGGAAATTAATGAGCAGATACAAGGAGGAGTTAGATCGAACACATGGAAGGCACATTCCTCCGAAGCGTACAGGGGGCATTATCTCTCCTCTATTGGCAAACGAATGCAAGCATAATAATGGCCAGCAATTAAGACATTCCATCAAACACTGGCTCGCCCTCATGACATCTCATGGTGCCTTGTCCTCACCCTCTTCCGATTGCTTTCACCCGCAATAGGACGCTGACTCCACTTGAAACAGGGCTTGCAGAGGTGACGCAGTGCGGAGGACAAGAGGCCACCGACTCCCCTGTCCGACGCCAAAGATCGCCCTTTAATCCCTCAAGCACGCCAACTCCACGCAAAACAAGGATTGCCAGTCCCGTCCATGGCGGTGCAGCATGCCCTTGGTTAATCTACTCTCTCGGTAAACAACACCAGATAACACACGCATTCTGTGTGGAAGGCTGTCCGAGATGTGCAAAACAAGATACTTCTCTTCTTTGGACAGGAATCTTTCCTTCCAAAACACTGATAGGCTGCTCACCGCTCAGTGTCACTGTTCCATGGTAAGGAGGGAGAGGAGGGCGACACGCTTTTCTCTGGAGCCCGTTCCTTAACTGGCACTGCTGCTGTCTTCTCTCTCTCTCTCTCTCTCTCTGTACTCTTCGTCAGGACATTTGCAACACAAAGGAGCTGACACTGCCCGGCCTTTTGGTTCTCAGAGGCATCAAAGTGGTTTGTGCCACCGCTCGAGCACCTGAGAGCTACCGTCCTGAGTGGACCAGGCTATGGTCACTGCTGCACACAACCTAGCCCTCCTTGAGGTCAGCATATTTATCATGCTGGGTGTGAATGAGGTGCATGATTCCCTGCGGTCTAAGGGTCTAAGGTGGGATTAATATTCACACATGCAGTACACGCAATGTGAGGGAGCGCGATAAATGGTCAACCAACGCAGCAGCCAAGAGCTCTACATGTTGACTAAATGAGCAGAGAAGACAGCCATGGCACAAGCACCTCGACCTAGACGATGCGTAGGAATCACATGGGATCACGGGGCTCAAGAACAGGCAAATGGAACTCTTCGGCATTGATGGGATTCACTGTCGAAGGTCAGTGTGGCATTTTCACAAACAAGAGGATTCATCCTACAATTATTCTGAGTGTTTCTTACATTGACTTTTACTTCTTCCTCTCATTTAATGCATTTCATTCAGTACCATGGCAAACATCCAAATTACAAGGCATGAAATTGTTGGTCCTGTCTGGTACAAACAAAACAAGCATCTCAAGTCTATTATGAGTTTGCACTATTAGCAACCCCACAGTTGGCAGTGACACAAAGGATGTCTGTATCAGCTCTTTGTCACTATTTATTTCATCGAGGTAAATCTGTCCAAAGAAAAGAAAAAAAGGACAAATTTTTACATGAAAAATCGCAGCTTTTTCAGTCACAAAATCGTTCGACGAAAAATCTTTCGCATTGACGACGTCTTTATTTGCGTAATCTTTTGGCAGCAAATGAGGCAAATTGTTTTGCAAGAACACTCAAGTTGGAGCAGTAGGCCAGTGCAAGATTGTGATCAGCTGGAGGACCACTCAACAATTAATGATTCCAAAATGGTCATCGCAATCAGACTTGGATGCATCCCACAAAGATCAAAAGAACAAAAAGGATAAAGATTTCGTCCTGCCATCACAGAAGATTTTGTCTTTGATCGTCTTGACCTGTGAGACCAATTGCATCCTTCTTTCGATCCTCGCAATGTTTCGGTCAGTCAGCTTTTGCAAACTTGTAGTAGGACTGGCTCTTCACGGAACTCATCCATTTCACTTGTTCTGTGCCAAAGCTAGACAGGGGAGTTGCAGTATGCATGCTGCAAAATTACACCTCTCTGTCAGCAGCATCAGTCCAAGGGCCAAGAACTGATTGATCTCTTTTGTAGCTCTCGCTCTGCACAGGACGTCTCCTTTCGAGGGTCAAAATGACAGAAGGCCAGATCAAGTACACAGAGATGGAGATGCAATCCAAAGATAAGACATCAATGCAGCTTTGACTGGGAGAAGTGCCTGTGACTTCAAAGAACAAGATGACTCGAAGACCGAGTTAGATTACCACATCCTGAGATTGCAGTCAAAGAACTTGATGCTTCTAGTTTGGCAATAACCTTGTCATCTACTTATGAGTGTGTACATTGATGAAAATTAGTGTAGCATTATTGAAAGGGTGGGAGAGAATTAAGTAGTTGATGTTGAAAACAAGTAGCTGAAAGATTTTTTTCTTCTTTCAGCCATATCAGTGTCAGATTCAGATGCAATTCACCAAAGTTTGATGTGAATTAAAGTCTAAACAGCAGACTGGTACTGCATGTCTGAACTCTTAAAACTCCACAAGTGCTTGGTTGGATGTCAGACTGTAAGGAATCTTGCTTTCTTTGCTTCAAAGGGCCCAAATCTGTTTGCTTCATGAGATTGTGGCTGTATAGGTGAATGTTTGAAAGAAATATTTACCATGAGAAAAGACTTGGCTCAAGAAGTATGAAAACTAAACAATTCCAGACACATCAGCAGGTGAATTTTGAGCTTACAACAATTGATTCAAAGTGGCAAAGATGCAGCTTGAGGTCTTGTAAAATTCAAGTGATGAGTTGCAATATTTTCCAATATCAAGATGAAACTTTTTGAGTGAATGCTAAAGATTTGATGACCACATCTGCAAGATTTTTCCTTCAATACAAATGGAAACCACAAAGCATTTTAGTTTTCTGTATGAAGATTAAACATTTGGCTCCATGAATGTACTGAGAACAACACTTTTAGTTTGGCCAATTACCAAGCTGGAACTACTGACAAACCAGTGTGTGTTTTCCAGCCTGCCTTCTAATAAGATATCATTTCATAGTGACACTAAAGCATGCACATGAAAAAGATACCAGGCCAAGAACAATGGCTAGCAAACCTAGTTTCATCAAATCTTGTCTTGCATTACCATGACAAGACTATTTTCTAGTGTCATATTTAAGCTGAAACAGTGGGCTATCTGAAATAACATCTACCTTGTGATCTTGCTTGCTACCAAAACACTCTTTCTTTTGAATCAGTGATCTTTAACTAGAGGCAGCATGGCAACTGTGTCATCCTTTCTCATCCAGATCCAGGTAGCTGTCAGCTTACATAGACCAGATGTTGACTCTTCTTTCTTCATCTGCTGGCTACAGGCTGCAGGCAAGTTAATGCAGAGATCAGTCTTTCTTTAGTCACCCCACTTCTCTTCCATACTTCAAGACATGGATTCTTTATTTCCAAGTCAGTATAGGCATGCAATATTCATTGTATCAGATTTCTCAGGCATGCAAACTAGATTTCCTTGATGACACATGGAGCATATCAAAATAATAGTCAAAACAACTTGAGATACCTAAACTATTGGCACAAGACAGTGCATGTATCTGAATTGAGAAGTAGCAAAGATGCTCTGAGATCAATGAGGATGGCAGGGGTAAGCTTCACTCCACCATACTAATAATCCAAAGGTGGAATTCTTGCTGTGAATTCTTTCCTTAACTTTCTCTCTTCACCCTCTCACTGCAGACTTCATGATCATAAGAACTGGTCCAGAACATATCACAGACTTTACACCAGAAATAAAAGATCTATAATAAGCAAGATACACTTCAAAAAGTTCTTAGCTTCAATCAATCAATATATATATATATATATATAGCTTAATCTCTATTGGTTGAAATTTTGATTGATATTAGCACCATTTAAGAGCTCGTTAGTAGCGTAAAATGTTAATGATATTTCAGATAATTTATTTTATGTAAATTTAAGTTAAACTATCATATTATAATGTAAGTTAGAAGCAATCTGGAATTTTTGGATGGATATTAATTAATAAAAGTGTGCCAACAGATCAATATTTTGGTGAACATATGTGGTTTCAAGGAAATGTAAGTTGTATGAACAATCAAATAATTTCCAACGAAATCAATTACTTTATTTTCTCAATAAATATTTTTTAAAATAAATAAAAAGAAATTTAATGATTTCTCAAAAAAAAATCCTCTTTTTTAGTTTTTCCTTGGAAGTATCCCCATTTTCGGAATTCTCAAACAAAGTCCTATTTTTTTACCTAATATATGAAATATTCTTTTTACTTCCTTTTTCAGTTTGAACCGATCAAGTTATAATATTCTTTACATTGTTATACTATTTTTAATAATATTTAAAAATATTATAATATTTTTTAGGTATTGCTAAAAATAGTATACTATTATAAAAATATTATAATCGGACACATCCATAGGAAAAAAAGGAAATTTTGAAAATGGAAGATGCTTCTAAGATTAAAAAAGAGAGGTCTTTTCTAGAAAATTCATCCATATATGTATATATATATATATATATGTGTGTGTACATATATATATATATATATATATATATATATATATGTATGTATAAATATGTATATACATATATATATATATATATATTTATATATATATTAAAAGAAGGGAGACAATATCAGCCGTCCATTGCTCGTTCTTATCACCCCAACTCCATGTGATTCCACGGACAAGCACACGAGGACAACGACGACCACCCGGGAAGAAGACGTCTCCGGTCCCGAACCCGTAATTACGTCACGAGATCACGTCCACAGTATGACGTGACCCCACCTCAGGAGATCCGCTGGCCCCATTCTTACAACGAGTTACTGCCACGGTTGTATCAAGGGTCGACGAACCTTGATTCGTAGATTTGAACTAATACTTGAATCAGGCCCTCCTACTACCAAGAATAAATGCCACTTTGTATGCTGTTTGACATCATCATACATACTTAATGCGAAAGGAAGTATGTGATGACGCGTAAGGAACCACATGTAGACAACAGAGAGAGAGAGAGAGAGAAGGGAATGGAGTACATGATACATACCTGATAAACATACATGGTACATGATAACCCCACATCAAAGGAGAGCACCCCATATAACTCGAGATATCCACCTCGAACCCACCACCACTCCATCTCGCTCGCGGTCGTCTCCTTTCCTCTGATCCCTTTCTCTCCTCTGCTCATCCTTTCTCTTTCGTTTCGCCAGATTCGATTAGTCGATCGATCGGCCCGCTTTACAACAGCAGAGGAGTGGATCGATTAGGATAACATTTCCACTGCAACCACATCTGGTTAGTAGCGATGAGGGAGGAGGAGGAGGAGGAAGAGAACAACTGGTTCGCTCGCTGGGAGGAGCAGCTGCCGTCGCCCGAGGAGCTCATGCCACTCTCCCAGACCCTCATCACCCCAGAGCTCGCCCTCGCCTTCGACATCACCGCCGCCGGCGCCGCCAATGGCAATCTCAACCCCGCCCTCTTTCCCCAGCCGCCGGCCCCGCCCCAGCCCGCCGCTTGCTCCCACCCGGCCCCGCCTCTCTCCTCCGATTTCGAGTCCTCCGCCTCGGCCGCCGCCGGAAGCGGCGGGGGCGACGAGCCGGCGCGGACCCTCAAGCGGCCGCGCCTCGTCTGGACGCCGCAGCTTCACAAACGGTTCGTGGACGCCGTGGCCCACCTTGGTATCAAGAACGCCGTCCCCAAGACCATAATGCAGCTGATGAGCGTGGACGGGCTCACCCGCGAGAACGTGGCCAGCCACCTCCAGAAGTACCGCCTCTACCTCAAGCGCATGCAGGGCCTCAGCACCTCTGGCGGCGGCCCGATTTCCGCCGCCGACGCCGCCACCGACCAGCTCTTCGCCAGCGCCCCCGTGCCACACCAGTTCCTCAGCCGCGGGCCGGCCGCGGGTCCCGAGCCGTTCCTGCCGTACGTGCCGACGGCAGCGCTGCAGCACCAGCAGCAGATCACGGCGGCCATGCAGCAACAGCAGCATCAGCAGCAGTACTACCACCAGAGGCATCTGGGGCATTTCGGATCGTCAACGGGTGGGTTCGACCACGGATTCCTGAATCGGGGAATGCCGCAACCAGCGATGCATCAGATGGTAGGACCGGCCCCGGGGACGGGGTTTCTGCAGTTGACACCGCCACCGGCCGCTCTATCCGTGGACGATTTGGAGCCTGCCAGAAGAGAAGACGGCGGTGAGAGGAAGGTGCTGACGCTTTTTCCCGACCGATGAGGTCTGATTCCGCTCTTTCTCTCGGTCTCATGTCTACTCTAATTACCATCTGTAGTAGGTCTTCGTCGCAAATAATTGATGCTCGATCAATAATTACCATTGCCCCATGCTAGGTCTGAGAATTATGCTTAGGAGCAGAGAAAGAAAGGAGAACAATAATGTGGTCATTAGGACACACTTGAATCAAAGGAAACCAAGTCCTCAGGCTTCTGAAATCTATTGATCTCGCTTTAGTGATCAGTGGATATTAGTTTCTGCAACTCTGGATTCAACTCTCCCTGGTTGCCTGGGTTTAGTGCTTATTCATTTGCAAGATTTGGAATTAAGCCATGGTGTATTGCAGATGATGAACAGATCATAGAAGCTTTGTTTGTGCCTTTTGAGTATCATTGGATGCAAGGAATGAGTTGGGAGATTATTAGTTCATGGATACCCCAATTGCATGTGTGTCCGTCTGAGTGAAAAGCCTCTGTTTCTTTCAAGGGAATTCATTGCATAAGAGACTATAGATGTTTCTGTCCAACATTTTTATTTTTCCCTCTCTAGCATTGGTATGTAGGTGAACTTTAGTAATTTAGCGACAAGTCGATGAATGCGTTCTCTTTCGGTCGGTTCTTCTTGTATATTTCATTACCTAAAAATTGTGTTCTATGTCAATGAGATATTCCATGACACCATCTGGTTGTCATCTGAATCTTGAGCATATATTGATGTTTTTTGAAAGCTGCACTTGTATAATGTGGAAATTCTAAAGATCACCAGCTAATCTTCTATTATTTTCTTAGAATTATGCCCTTTGACTCTCTTGTATGTGATTTTGAAAGAGTTGGTTTGGTTTTATGTTGCAATTATATTGATGCTCCATTTTTATATATTTTGAGATACATGTCTGGTAGCTGTGGTGGCTTCAATTCCATCCTAGAAGAGATTTTGCTGATACCTATATAGAGGCACCACAATTTGCTGCTCTATAGAAAGAATATTATTTCCATGTTATATACTTGTAAATTGCCATGTTGTTGTCAGTCAAACATCTTAGATCTTACAAAAACATTCATAGAATTGACTGTACATACTATTTGGAAGCACTACAATTTACTGAAACAGTCTCAGTGCTGTTATGCATCCTTTGTTTCTAGTTCTTAATCTTTTATCATGTAACTACTGTGTAGATGCATAAAAGGCTTTACTAGTGTGTACTTATGAACAGTAAGACACTGTTTAATTCATTTAATGGAGAATTAATGGCCATTGTAGTACCATAAATATGTCACAGCATCTCTTTCTTTTTTCTTTTGACACAACTTTACAGCCCCTTCTAACTTTCCGAATCGACTGAGCTATATCCAATCTGCTTGTTCACACTCCTTTCCTTCATGAATTCCCTCACTCTCTCTGCATCGCTGTATCTGCCAGCATCTGCATACATGTTTGCTAAGCTCATGTAGTAACCACTCTTCGCCGGGCGCATCCTCATCAGTCTCTTCGACACTCTGTCGCCTACCTCCGTGTCGCCGTGCACTCTGCATCCCGCTAACAGAGCTCCCAGTATGGCCTCATCCGGCTCCATCGGCATCTCCGCCACGAACCTCTCCGCCTCCACCAACCGGCCGGCCTTCGCCAACGCGTCGGCCACACAGGCGTAATGCTTCAGCTCCGGCTCTATGCCACACTGTCTCATCGAACCAAAGAAACCCCATGCCTTCTCCACGAGCCCTCCGTGCCCGCACGCCGACAGCACCCCAAGAAAAGTTACCGAATTTGGCTGTATCCCTTGCGTGCACATTTCGTCGAACAGCTTCAGGGCCACATCTGCATGGCCGTTCAGTCCGTGGCCGAGTATCAGAGCGGTCCATGAGATCACATCCCGGGCGGGCATGCCATGGAAGACCCTCTCGGCGGCGCCAAAATCGCCGGACTTCACGTACATGTCCACGAGAGCGTTGCATAATGTCAACGGCGACCCTAAGCCCCGACGAACGCAACAGGCGTGCGCACTCTTCCCGTGCCTGATCGATCCCGACTGCCCGCAGGCCAACAGCAAGCTCACCAACACCACATGGTCAAGTTGCAGCCCACCGTCCACCATCTTCCTAAAGAACGCCAAGGCTGACGCCGAATCCCCGTTCTGGGCATACCCCGACAGCATCGACGTCCACAACACCGCGTCCTTCTCCGGCATTCCATCGAACAGCTGTCGTGCGTCGGATGTCCGCGACAGTGCCATGTAGAAGAAGACCAACGCCGAGGCGACGAAGATGCTGCTCTCTACTCCCGACTTGACGGACACGCCGTGGACGGACATTCCGGCGGCGGCGTCGCTCGAGCCGGCGCAGGAGCGGAGGACGGGCGGGAAGGTGAACTCGTCGACGGGCACGCCGGAGGAGCGCATCCTGTGGAAGAAGCCGATGGCTTCGAGGGGGCGGCCGGAGCGGGAGAGCTCGGCGATGAGGGTGTTCCAGGAGTGGGAATTGCGGCGGGGCATGTGGAGGAAGACGGAGAGGGCGCAGGGGAGGAGGCGGCGACGACGGGAGTAGGAGAGGAGGAGCTTGGAGGAGAGGATGACGTTGGTGAAGAGGCCGGTGCGGAGGAGGCGGGCATGGAGGTGGCGAAGGTGGCGAAGGGAGGGGGAGATATGGAGGAGGTGGAAGTAGTAGGAGAGGAGGTTGGCGGCGTCGGTCATGCTGATGCGCATGGCTTCTGCCACGCGCGGCTGGACCGATGCAACTTAGCATGGCCAGTCCCGTCCTTAATTGTCGTGCAACAACGCATGGAATGAGGCGAACTCTGCATCAATCAAAATGGCGAAGCTTTCTATTACACCCTCAAAGGAGTGTCGTATCACGTACAAGTAGGCCTTTTGCTTTCCACTTCTATACATCCGAAGAACCTATTTTGGCTGCTCAAAGTGATCCAACCTATTTGGTCTCCTACATCCAATCTCCTCATGGTAGCACATGAGTCATTTGCAGAAATGCTTCTTAGAACCTGCACGAGGTTCCCAGCCTTTGCTTCGATCCCATGCTCTTCCTAGCCTCCAATGCTTCAGGCAAGAGATCCTCAAACCTCTCCAGGAACAGACTCCACTCCTCCTCGTTCAACCCTTCGAAAGATATGCTCCTGCTTCCGTCATGGTTGAAGTATGCCACCGAGAAGCTGAAGCTCTTGCCGAATCCCCCCAGCTTGTGCTCCGTCACGCTACCTTCGTCGCTGCCGTCGCCGTTCTCACTGGCATAGTCCTTCTTCCGATCCTTCCCAAGCAGCAGCGCGACGTCGAGCGCGTCCTCGGCGCCGCTCCCGTCGGCGTCGTCCATGTCGAACTGGACTTCTGAGGTCTCGTCGCCGCTGCTCACTTCCTCGTTGCCGTCGTCTTCTGGGGAGAGCGTGGTGTTCTTCATGCAGTCCTCCACTCTCTTGCAGAGGGCCTCGAACTCACTGGGGCCTTCCTCTAAGCCGGAGAATTCTCGAGTCATCATGTGCCCGATGTCGGCCAAGCAAAGGCCGGCCACGACCGCTCTCTTGAGAAAGATGGTGCATATGACGAGGATTCTTAGGGATGATTCCCGCAGGGATGGCAGCTCTACTCGGAGGAGCTCGGCGTCGCCGAATGGGTCTAGTGATGCTACGTACTCTGCCTCCGATTCAAAGAAGGGCACCGATGCCTGCGGCCAGTGGAGCCACTCGAAGTAGGGGTCGTCGAGCAGCTCGGGCAAGCAGAGTCCGTGATCGATCGGCACGAGCTCGGCCATGGAGTCACCGGTGCAGCCGTCGTAACAGCCGCCACCGCTCCCTTTCTTGACGAGGATGTTCCCGGCATGGCGATCGACGTTGAGAAGCCGCACGTCGAGGATGCCGATACGATGCACGGACGAGACGGAGAACCTCGACGGCCCGAGCTCGCCCGCGTCGAAGTCATGCGGCATGAATCGCTGAATCGATGCTATCTTCCTCTCCGGCGTCTGGTTGGCGAGCGGTGCGGTGGGATCGCCTTGGGAGGAACCGGAGATTGGCCGGGATATCACGATGAGGGCTGTGGGCGGGACGCCAGCGAACCCGTCGTGATCGAGGAGGTGAGCGGCGACTTCGCGGACTCCCGTCTCACTAGCGTGCGTCGAGTGCTTCCAGCTGGGGCGGCCGACGACGCTCAGGGCCGGCGCTTCCTCGTCGACAGGCTTGACGACCGCGAAGCTCTGCCCGAAGCGATTGAACAGGTAGTGCGCCGCGCTGAGCCCTTCGGAGACGGGGACCGGCGTGGCGCCGAAGGCCAACGCGATGGCCGCTTCGGCGACCAGGGCGTGGATGGTGCGCGACTGCCGTCCGGCGACGATCTCAATGCGGGCGGTGTGGTCGCGCCTGGGCTCGTCGGGGCCGATGGCGCTGGTGGAGTAGAGGCAGGGGGTGGAGAGGCTCCGGCAGAACTTTGGGGTGCGCCGAAGAGGAAGGCCAGGGGCAGCCGGCTCGGGGTCGAGGAGGGGCGGGTTGGGGTGGGGGAAGGAGCGGAGACGGCATCGGCGGCTCCAAATCGGGGGCTTGAAGCCATGGCAGTGATCGACAGCGACAGCCATGAGAGATGGTCTCAACGAAGGGTTGGTAGGCATGCATGTGTTGTCGTCATGGCTTTGGTCGCTCAAACTCCGTGGCTGTGCTATCTTTGGCGGCTGTATGGGCCAGGCATGATCACAATTCTCACCTGCATCGAACGAAGAAGAAGAAGAAGAAGAAGAGTAAGCATGGCATGAGATGGATACGTTTGATGCATGCATGCATGCATGCAAGAAGAGAGAGAGAGAGAGAGAGAGAACCTTCGACAACGTTGGTTCTTCCTGTGGAAGGGTATGAAGAGGAAGCCGCCTAAGAGAACAAAGTTAGTGTATGGCTGTGCCGCTGATACAAAAAGAAGACGACGAGAACAGAAAGACAAAAGCTGAGATGAATCGGTGTCTCCCAAAGGAAGGAAGCGAGCGAGACAACGAAAGGGAGCAGAGGGATGTAGACACGGTCGGCGATGCACCCTCACTCCCCCACCTCCTTCTTCTTCTCCTCTTACTGTTGCTGCAGGGCCCTCGATGGCTCGATCCGATCGATCACCCCACCCGCACCCTTGTCCTCCTCTCCTCTCTCTCTCTCTCTCTCTCTCTCACTCACTCTCCTCCTCCTACTTTCTAAGGCTTCTTTTTGCTCTCAGCTCCTTCCATTTAATCTCCCACCAGAGAAGGGACAGGAAGAGAGAGAGAGAGAGAGAGAGAGAGAGAGAGAGGAGGAGGAAGCCCACCGTCTCCTGCGGCCCGGGTTGCCGAGATAAGGCGTCCAGCGGCTATTAATGGAAGAGTGAGATATCTGTAGCGTTCATGCGACTCTTCTTGCACAGTTTTCCTCGTTATCTTCTTCCTGCTCCTCACCTTCTTTAGAGTTTTCACCAGTCAATGGCTATCTGCTGATTGCTGTTATTTTCGGACAGGGAAGCAGAAGATTGCCGCTTCATTTCCGGCACGTAAAGAATGGATAACCAACCGTTCTTTATGTCAACTGTGCATCGTCGTCGAGGCAGTAAGAGAGAGAGAGAGAGAGAGAGAGAGAGAGAGAGAATTCAAATCTGAGTTATAATTGAGCTCGACTAGACCTATCCTTCCAACGAAAAAATCATAAATTGGATTCATGATAGGTCCAAGATTTTGGGTTACTATACGAATTGAGGATTTGGATATAGTCGAGATTAGTATCTCATATGGAAACGGTTTAGTCTCAATGCTACCTTAATGCTACGTGGGTAAACACTTTATCATTATAATAATCGATACTTTGATGTCTCATGTTCGATAATATAGTTTCACATTGATTGACATTTCGACATCGATTGGTATGATTTTATTTTTCGTATATTATAAGTCATATTTACAATTGGATTCAGCACAATATGATTCCAACAAGGTTAGAAAAAATATATAATTATCCTCGATATTAATATGCATCTTCGAATATAATAATTTAACTATGTTTACTCATAATATATTTATTTTTTATGTATATTCTTATTTGTTAGTTTATATTTTGATTATCCAAGCTAAAGGTTTAATTAAGAGATTTCATCTAATTTTGAAGTCGGGTCCTTCAGGCACTTTAATTAAGCTAAAGGTCGTGTGACACGTTTACGTGTCCATTCGTAAATGATCTCTTAAGGATTTATAAAAAAAATGATAAATTTAATAAAACGTTTAACTTGAAATCACACCAACAGTAAATCATTTTAATAAACTCTTGGATATTGTGCCGATTAACACTTTACATCACTCTACGACTACGAAGATTAAAAAAAAAAACCTCTCAAAATGACTCTTTAGATAATATATTTCTAGATAGTTTTATCTCTTTGTAATGACTAGACACAATCTATATTTATAAACCTAAAACGATCATAAAACCAAACAAAATGAAACTATCAAATTTATAACTTTATTCATGACAAGACATTAAGCATAAAAAGTAACATGAATAGGAACACTTTGATTTATAATGTGCTGACAACATAACCCAACAATTTTATAGTATACATAAGCTATGTAATTAACTCCCAGTACCTGCGAATTGATAGTATACACTTTTATATTACCTGGGAATTAACCCAACAATTTTATAGTATACACTTGGAAGCGTTCAAGCAGTACAGTACCTGAGAATCGATAGTAATTACTTATAGGTGTGAATAGCCAGCTAAGAATTATAACTCCCACCATTTGATCCATTAATCATACATCAAAATCATGAACATCAAAAGCGGTACTAATCATCATGTCATGTAGGTATGTAATGATAAAAACATCATAGAACTCCTCCAATCTGAAAACGGGCAAATATGACTACTCTAACAAAAGCTTCTGTCTAACCAAAGACATGTAGGTACAATCACGATGCAAAACACCAATAAGTTCTATCACGGTTTACATGGACACGATTTAAGGTCTATCAAGCTTAAAGGACTATGGTTCCAGACCAATCGACAAGCAAGCCAGCCAAAAAGCATCATTCTGATCGGTGATGAAATGAAGCCACAGGATTTTCCAAAGCTCGATCATTCATCGAGGGCTGCATTAACAAGTCATCAATGAGTTTCAAGTTCCTAACTCTTCATCAAATATTATTATGTGGCAGAGTATCGACCTGTACGAACGAGACCTAGATGGGCTTCGTCCATTGCCCTTGGGACTCGAAGACTGATGATGCAACCCATGATCCCTATCATCAGGAGATCGGGAGATGGATCTTGGCGGAGAGTAGTAATCATCACGTGTACTCCTGTCATGGTCCCTGCTTTCATGTGCACAAAAGATAATATCATTACATACTGAAAAATTAGACACCCCCACATGAGAAAACACATATTTCAGATGATGAGAGCAACCACATGAACATTTATCTGAAGGCAAGACAGTAAAGATTGGCTAAGAGAGAAGAAGCAAAATGTATTTTGACATGTTCTGATTTAATAAATGAGTCGGCATGCCATTGGGCATGGAGATGCTTCAGGTCTCTCCAACTCAGAAACTAATATGTTGGAAGCATGACGTTTACCTGTGGTATATCACTCTCGGAACAAAATTATGAAACTTTGTCCAAAAATGTTTCAGTTAATGCCTTTAATGGTGTACTTGTTGGTCGAACAGCATCTGCTGACTTCAAAGCTCTTTGCTTCAACTTTCTTAGGGCACACTATCATTACTTTCCACACAAGTATATGACCACCATCAAGACAATGCTCTCTCTCTAGCAATGTGTACTTTCAAGGTCTCCCATTCTCTGGAAATCATGATACTTCCTCTTTTGCTTTATGCACTGGAGATCATGATTCTTTCTTTTGGCTTTTTAAGCTCTAGATTCTTTCTTAACTGGATAGTATACAAAATCAAAGCAACAATCTTTAGATTGCCAGAAAAGTAACAAAAAATGTTTAAAGAAAGATACTATGGATTGTAGTTTCTCTGTATTTACTGTTGATGGAGATGGGCATTAATAAAAGCTTCTTGAATAGCTTCAAGAAAAGGTAATCAACTAGCCAATAACATTTGGGTCTCTTTCTCTTTTCTCTTTACTAACCCCTTGATACTTTAGGATCTCTTTTCACTTTTATGATCTGCATGAGCAACATATAGTCATTCAACTTCCCTGGATGCAGGACAGAGTCCAGTGAGAACAAGTATACATTTATGCTTAAAGGATAAACATACATATAACTACCAGGGATTCAGATTCTAGAGCCTCATATTGTTAAAGTTCAAGAAAATCTAATCATATAAGCAATATGCAGGTAAAACATAAAATTATAAACATAGAAGTTGCAAAACCATAGAACAGTAAAATTCACTTCAACAGCTATATTTCAGAAGTATCAACTAAGCATCTTCAAGAAAATATCTGTAGACCTAAAAAACAACTACAAAAAAGAATTTCATTTATCAGATTCTGAAGCAACACTCTACGTGCTTAGTACAGTTTCTCAAAGCATACGCAGCCAAATATAGCCCATCAAATATTGAAATACTGCCATGGATACATCATAATGAAAGAAAATATATATGATAAAACACATTATGGATGTATACAACAAAAAAAAATTTAACTAGAGGCTGACAGAATATAATGCTTTATATAGCTACGAGAAGAGGTTTTCCTGCCAGTGAATGTGTTTGGAAACCAAGTATTAGAGGAATAGTACATACTTTGTGTTTCATGCACTCAAGTAATATGGATAACAGTTGGAACACAGCAGATACCAAGAAACTAATGCTAAAGGAAGACATCATCAGGAAAAAAATTAGACTTGTATCTCTTTCTCTTCCATCCAAAGGCAAATATCTTATAATAGCCAATGATTTTTCCCTTGACCGTCAACAACTTAAGGATTTGATACACTTAAGGTAAAAAGACCAATACCATCAAATAGGTAATCGGTCACTCATGCTCAGGAATCTCTTGATGCCATACAATACAAAAACCGTGACCATCCAAATTTGCTCCTTATTAACCCTTCATAAATCTTGTATCCAATTAACCAACAAGCAAACACTTTGAAGGAAGAGGCTGACAGAACAAGGCAGTGATGTATTCCAATGAATCCAAAGATAGAATGTACTGCATTTCTAACTGGAACTGTCCAATTTCCAGACTAGATGCATTCAGCGACATAGGCCTGTCTACCTTTGGTGGGATCCAACCATACATTTCAAATAGAGAAATCTGACGTTAATAAGAACTGTGTCACTAACTGGAGGTACCAATAAACAATAAAAGGAGCCAGATCAGCTCAAAGGCCATTGAGATCAAATGATCATTATAAAGGAAAACAGAGAAAAATCTTATGAACTTATGGTCCAATATCAACTAGACCCTTGTAAGCTCGTTAACTCCACTGAGGGCGGAGAGGAAGAATCAAAACCATGTGATCCAAGCCCATGCCCAATTCTTAACCCTCACCACAGATGGAAAGCAGGAAAACTCAAAAACTAGGTTAGAGCATGGCATATCAACATCAAGTTAATTCTTGGCAACTATGGTTCATATCAATTAGGTCCTTATAAGATCATTATATCATGCTCATAACGTTTTCATGATGATACAACTGGTTTCAAAATTTCAATATTCACAGTTAAGTTTTTTGAAAATAAACTTACCAATCAATTTTACCGGAATCCACCCAGGAACCCAATCTCCATAGTTAAATCCTGGAATCCACCGAGGAACCCAGAAGTGTATTTACTTTCTAAATCCAGGTGAAAAGACATCTTAACATCATTAGCCATGGCATCTCAGCAAGACATATCATGTAACCATAGCTAAGGTTTGAGAACAATACAAGCCCATTAGAATCCTATAGGCCATCCTAAAAGTCAAATCTGTCAAGTTTTTTACCTAGTAGGTGCACAATGACTGCAGAAAATTTACAAGGTAGTCCTATTGTTTAAACAAAATTGTGAAGAAAGAATACTAAAGCTATTATTTGCATTTTCAGTAAAAGCATCATTAAGCATGTGTCCAAACACGATTTGATGATTATTAAAAATATAATTACAACATATGAGGCAAAATGTGCAAACAGAGATAAAAATCAACAAGGTACATTAACCAAAAAAAGATTTTTGAACTAAATAGGTGTAACAAAGTCAAAAGGAGCAAGTAAATGATATAAAGGAGAAACTAAGATGCCTATAGACATTGCTGGTAGATACGACGCACCAGAACGTAATTTCTACAAAGCCTAAATTTACCCTTCAAAAAGAAAAAAGACAAAGGAAGATAATAATCTGTTTACTGATCTGTATAAAGGGTTCACAGTGCCAAGTGGCAACCAACGATCAATAATGGATATTGTACAAAGGCTTAATCACATTAACTTCTACCATAATTGGTGCTGAACCTCCACAAATGCTTAAATTGAAGACAACACAATCGAATTGTTTATTATTCTATTGCATTTACTAATCATAAGGCAAGCAATTCGTGAACAGAAAAGATACACATCAAAAACAAATTAGGAAGCAAAGATGATGACACCTTTGTTCCCAAAGATCCAAGACTATCATCATTATAAGTTCATAATAAGACTTGCTAGCTAATATTTTACCACATAAACTTGTTACAAAAATTCATTTATGCCTTACACCAAATCCAAACAAAAAATAATATATAACCCTGCTATGGTTTCAGGTTGGTACTGCCAAAAACCATAGTCAAAAGGTCCACTTTGAGATGTACCTAGTCTTAGTAAAGTTACCTTTAAAAAATAAAAAAATATTATCTCACATAGAGAACACTAGTGGCTTATAGGTAGAAAACAATGTGTTCTTGAAATAGATAAGTAAGCACACTGACCAGATATAGAATGAGAATTCAGGCAATGAGAAAACAAAAAGTATTTGGTATGGTTGTGAGTTAAACAATAAGTTCCCAAATTGAAGTTCATTTAAGGAAAATTCACCTTTCACTTTAGCTCACATGACAAAAAAAGAAAAGAGCAGGAGTGGCAGAGTCACCAATAATTCATGCAAGAAACATACATGAAATGAGATGATAAAACAAATATATAAAAACAGGGGAAAAAAACACAAACCTTGACTCTCGTCTTGGTGGAGAAAGTGAACGTGAATATGCTGCCAACAAAAGCATAGAACAGAAGAAATTAAAAGTAATCAATTAAAAATTTTAAGAATTACAATTATTTTATATCTTTTGCAATACAAGCAGTAGTGACTAAGGAGTTCCAACTATACAGAGTAAGAGGAAATCAAGGTTCAAAATACTAACAGCGACGTCGTCGACCAGGAGATCTCGGTGGAGATCGTCTCCTGTAGCTTCCTCCCATGTATCTTTCACTGGAGCAGCACAATGTAATTGGCGCAATAAGTATATTCTTTTCTAAAAAAATTACTGGCTTGACCTACCAATTTTGGATTCCAATAAATAAATAGGAATGCCATGAAATGGAACATACACTCAAAGCAAACTATTTCCATGATTTTCATAAGTTCTGGGGAAAAAAAAATACAATTGAGTTTTTCGATTACCTAATCCTTGCACTCATACGCATTTCCTGTGGAGTTTTTCGATTTTCTTCAGCGTATACAATTGAGATCTCACGCCCACAAATAATCTGATGATTCATATGCTGCTTAGCTACAGCAGCATCTTCAGCATAACGGAACTTGACAAATCCAAAGCCTCGTGGCTCTCTGCAACAATCATATTCAGAAAGGTATGTTTAAAATTGTAATGTCATATAATGCATTTTAAAAATTTCATAAATGGCAATAACTTCAATACTTAATTTCCATGAAGTAGCAACAATATCGTCTGTGGAAGCATTCATGCTATCAGAGAGGTTATCTAACCTTCCTATATGTGGTCATCTGTGTTACATCTCAACAATCTTACTCTCTAAAAGCATGTGTACCTATATACTATTTCTATATATGTCATAAAAATCAAAGAAACAAAAAGAAACTTCTGATCTTATACTACAATTGCATTAACAAATTGTTTGATGGTCTTAGATTTAATCATTTACCATACTTTGTTGAGGACAAAGGCTGAAATATTAAAACATGGTCCATACCTGGGTGCAATTGCCTATCTGAAGCTATGAAGTAATAAAACCCAGATGCCTGGTGGCTTCTATATTTTTTGCATTAATAAACCAGACAAAAATAACTTGTAATGCCCATGAAAAACACAAGTAGATTTTAGGTTCCACAAATAAGGCCACATCCATTTCAGTTCAGATCTCCTAATAAATTAGTCAACGTGAAGCTGGTTTACATGTTTCATTTTCGCAACACATTATGCAGCCAAAGTCATGTGAATTCATTTACAATGAAAGAGACCCAAATATTTGCCTAATAACATGACTAGCTTCTTTATCATTAGTTCCATGAAGATGAATAACTATTTACAAAACCAAAAGATCTTGATCTCAAAGCAATAATTTACCATTATTTCAAACCAAGAAAGCATTTTCGTATAAATAAACAAGAAATCTGACGGCATAAGACAATTAAAGACTGCCATGTTGCTCTTGCATACAATTAAGAAGGATATAATTCCAGCTAGAAAAAACAATACCCTGTATAGTAATTTTTTGGAAGGTAGACATCCTTCACAGGGCCAAAGCGCTCAAAGGGCATTCGTAGATCCTCCGACCTGGATATCAAGAGAAGATTAAATACAAAACCACTAAATCATCTTGTCACCATCATTTTTCTAAATATAAGAAATAACAACATCAAAGTTTTATTCAAAAATGAGAAATCTCCAAGCATTCCTGTCATTATATATCACTTCAATCCATTATTTATCTTTCTCTAACAAACACATCATATTAATTCAATCAAATTAATATTGATCATCGACAGATATCTCCTTGCACATCATACTACTATGATATTGACTTTGCATACTTTACTGCCAAGAGAGATATACTAAGCAAAGAATAAACACAAACAAGGATTGTTAGAACATGTAATACATGAGATTATTCTCACTATCCAATAAAGAACCAAAAGGGGCACATGTCTCTGATCGCAACAACATTTAAAAGCAAAGATCAAAGCACTTGACACAACAAAATGAAAGCAAAACTAATGACAAAAGAGGAGACGCCTTTAGCAACTGAAAGGGGAAACCATCAAGAACCCAACCCTAGGTGACCAGAACAGTAGTAGAAGATCGAGCTAGGCAAATGTTAAAAAAACGAGTATCAGAGCCAATATTGATGGATCGATCTCATAAACCACTAGAGTAGCAACAGGTATAAAGAAAGGAGTAGGCACATAACTGGCAAAACATAGAAGAAAGACGAGAAGCGACGCAAATAAACCCTAACCCTACGACCCAACACAAAGGATGCGTCTAAAAGACCCAATAACGAGAAGATGGGTGAAAGAGGCAAGCGACCTAGCGTCGAGGGCGACGTTCCGGATGAGGAGGCCGGAGGGGCCGGAGGAGCGGCGATCCCTGTAGTCCCGTCCGCCGCCGCCACCACCGCCGCCGCGGAAGCGTTCGCGGGGGTCGTCGTAGCGCTTACGGCGCGGAGGGCTCCGGCTGAACCGCCGCGGGCTGACGCTCCGGCTTCGATGTCGCCCCATTAGAGAAGGAACAGAGACCAGAAACCCTACGATTGAGGCAGTATGAAGCAAAAGAAAAGCACAGGATTAGGCGCTCTCCCAGACTATATATATATATATATATATATATATATATATATATATATATATATATATATATATATATATATATATATATATATATATATATATA